TGTGAGCATAATTCTCTGAAGGAGAAAGAAAATCCTAAAATATGGATCGATCGATACTTGCCATTAGTTGAGGCTCCTTTCACTATCTAGCTACAGATACTGCAGTCAGGCAGTCACAATATTTGGAGACTGCCTTTCTCCTCTCCATGAGTCTTTCATCTTTGGGAGATCTTGGGAGAATTTCACTAGAAAGAACCTGAAAAGTGAAGAAACTAATGAGTGAAATAAATGTAAAAGAGGGCAGTATTTTAATGAGACAGGCTTTAAGTATCTGGCCTACAGAAGTTTAAAATCAATCAAGCAAACAAAATATTTCACAATAATTGGCAGTATTGCCTAGCATGCACTGTTGTACAAATTTCTTCCAAAGTTAAGATCCAAGTTTTTCTTGTAATAAGGGCAAAAATAGCACATGCTGGACTCTTAAGGCAAACACATTTTAATAGAGCAGAAAGTGGGTCACTCTGATATTTGAAACAAAGTTATTTCTAGATGTACCAACATTTTCAACTATGTTGCTCTCTCAAATACTACAAAGATATATCCCGAAAGGAGCATTTCATCTACAGATAAATTTAACCAGGTGTTGTCAGCACGCACCAATAACCCCAGCGCTGTTGAGACCAAAACAGGAGTCAAATTCAAGGAAGCATGGGCTGCACAGTTTGTTTGTTTGTTTGTTTGTTTGTTTGTTTGTTTTAAGATAGTTCTCATATAGATCAAATTGTCCACGGATGACAATGTCCTCTGATCCCCTGCCTCCACCTCCCAAATTCTAGGATTGCAGGTATGTGCAGGCATGCCTGGTTCTTGTTGGTTGTGTATTGAAGATTTTTGTTTGTTTCTTTAATGAAGTAGAGTTGAGGTTCTAATGTAGACTGTGGATATAAAGAGAGAGAGGCACACAAAATGACACACCCAGAGTATGGCTGTGGATTTCCCCAAGAGCAATCTCACAGTGTATAGAGGAATTTTAACCCAGCAACATGGCTGCTCTGGCAAGGGATCACATCCATAGATGTAGGTCTGGGTGATCTGGCTGGAATGCTGACATGCCACACACCTTTAATCCCTCTGGCTGGAATACAGATATGCCTTTAGTATACACCTTTAATCCCAAACAATGGCATCTAATTGAGGGGCAGACAAAGTGATAAATCAGAGAAAGATTTGACAGAATAAGTCAGAAATAGGATACACCCAACTCTCATGAGAATAGCACAGGAAAGAGAGAGAGTCAGTTCAGTTGAGTGGAGTTGAGTTTGGTGTAGTTCAGTTGAGTGAGTTCAGTGCAGTAGAGTTCATTTGTGAGTTCATGCAGAGGGAGTTGAAGCCAGAAGGAACCAAAAGATGAAAACAAATTTTCAGAGTCAATTTGAGGCCAAGCAGAACAATTCAGGCAGAAGTGAAAGAAGCCAACTTGAATCAGTCATCTTAGAGAGGAGTTAAACCAGCCAGCCAGAAAGTAGAAAGAGTTAGTTTATTCACCAGTAAGCCTCCAAGATGACAATTTCCTCTGGTGAACAAAAGTTACTTTTACAGAGAGGAACACAGAAAAACACACCCAGAGAATGGCTTTGGTTTTCTCCAAGAATATCACTGTGGGCATAAGTGTCAAAGAGACCTAGAAGAATCACCACACATTACTAGAGATATCTGGGTCCCCTCTTAGAGTTCTTAGTCTTGTTAATAAAATAAGAAGAAGAAGAACAGACTCCAGAGGGAGCTCAAGGACAATTTTATTGAGAGGATTAAAAAAAAAAAAAAAAAAGGACAAGCTGTAAATCTTAGCAAGTGCCTGGAAGAGAAATCTGGAACAGAAATAAATAAATGCCTTGTGTTTTGCATTAATCCTGCGTGTAGGCCAGCGACACCTACATGGCAGGAATGGGGGTGGGGGGAGCTTTAGAGAAAAAGTGAAGTTCAAATCGTTAAGGAAAGAAGCACACACTCAGAAAGGTAAATGAAAAGTCACACTTTTTTAAGTAATTTGGAAAAGCGGGCAGACTTACAAAGCCTCTCAGCTACTATGCTAAATAATACTAATTCTGAGAGTTTTACATGAGCTCATTAAAGGACTATGTATCTCTCTCATCGCTTCAGCATGGCTGAAGGGGTACCCACTTGAAGGGGTGCCCAACTGAAATGTTAGGCTCCCACCAAGACTATCCGTTCTCTAGACTTCTGGAAGTTTTTGGCCTCCAGACAGGACAGGACATTTTCAGCTTATGGCCAAAGATAGGAACCCAGGTCCTTATGCTTAAACTACCTGTATATCTCTCTCCTATCCTTATTATCCTCCTCTCTTTAGGGGCACCCATAGGTGCCATTCAGGGAGTTGAGACACTGGCCAAAACTGACTTGATCATCATTGGTGGGGTTTTCAGACATGGCAGTTGGGTTAACCCTCTAGAGGGCCTATCTAGGGGACCTCAAAAGTCAATCATGCTTACATTTGTACAACAGCCAGTTGTAGGGAGGAGCGGGATCATTGACTAGTGCCTAGATTAAGGGAGAAGTAAGACTAGCATTATTAGCATTGTATGTGCTAGGCAGGGAACCAAAAGAAGCCAGGATATAGAATGGTGTTAATTGTCCAAACTAAGGTTCATTGAACAGAGCACGAAGGATCCCTCTGCTGTGTTCTGCCTCGGTTTTCCTTTAGCTTCTAAGGCTGAACTCAAGAGTGTTGAACCAAGGATCTGCTTCAGGTACTTTAATCACTGTTGGAGTAGCTAAATCACAGTGTGAGGTTCCTCACAGGTGGCTTCTAGAGAGGAAGAGAGAAAATAATTTTAATCATCATTTGATCCTTAAGTTAAAATAACAACAGACCTATCTTTCTTGGTAGCAAGCAGGTGCTGCAGTGTTGAATGGGTCAGTGTCATGGGACCTTATATCTAGGACCCTTTTATGTAATATCATTAAGTGGGTTTAAGTCCAATATTTAGGGAGCATAAATATTATGCTCAGAGTGTTAGAGAAACATACCAATTATTTTAATCTTTGGTTATACTTTCTTTCTGGGTATTTAAGGTCAGGAAAATGGAGGAAATTAACCATCTTTTTACTGCCAAGGCCAGTTGAGTGTCTGGTCCTCAGGGGTCAGAAGGCTTGGGAGGAGCCTCTGGTTCACTTAGCTTTCCATTTACCAGTTGTTCTGTCTGAATGGAATGAATTAAAGGCCTTGCTTGGCTGAAGCTTCACTTGCAAGCACTGAGGAAATTTTCCTATGCTGTAAATATCAGTTAGAGTCTACCCACTGAGGTCTCCGTGGCCTCCCTGACCAAGAAGACAGGTGACTCCTAAGTGTTACAGGACAATTCTGGGATGCCCCCCACCAGATCCTGAGATCTAGTTAACCTTGTAGGGCAAAGGCAAAATACTTTTCTGTCTGACCCCTGTGTCCACATTAGATAGACCTCCAAATATGGTCACCACATATCCAGGTGGAGGTCAGTTAGAAGAGTGTGGTGCTCTTGACCATTGTATAATATTTAGATAAAGCACACACAAAACACTAGATATTTAGAGATGAACTTTGATTAGATATACACTGTTTTCTTTTAATCTGCTCCTCATAGATGTTACTGTGACCAGAACAATAATTTAAGGGAATTCCATTGAGTTAACTTAGTTGAACTATGGTCTTAGATTATTATATAATCGCTAAGATGCATCTTTTACGTGCTTATAAAGCTCACTCCTGCCTTTGTGGCCTGATGAAGATTACATCTTTGGCTTTGTCTATGCTCCTGTTGCTTCTCTTTAGCTGCTGTTTGCATTCATTCCAAATGAAAAGCAAGGCTACTGTAGATAATTCTCCGGACTCTACAGAGAATGAAAAGATACTTTACTGTCTTTCATTTTCTATGGAGTTTTCCTGGGAACCTACATAGCTTCATAGTAGGATAATATGCACAGAGGTAAAACTATGTTACTTTATGTTATGTATGTAGATTGGATTCAAATTTCTTTTAATAGGATGATAATATTAATCTCTATATCTGGTGGTAACATAAAAGAACAAAAAAAATGAAAGGGAATCAAAGAGAAAAGAGGTAAGAATGAAAAAATTTGGTGTAAAGAACTTTTCCATGAAGAAACTGTTCTATGGATTGAGATGAAGTCAACCTGTGCTGTATAGTGAAACCCTATCTCAAAAGAAACTGCCCTATGTGACTATTGTTAATACATTTCCATTTAATTATAAGTCTTTAAAATACATTCTAATGTGTGCTACAAGTGTTTAATGATATAATGTTTTAATAATTAAAAAGTTATTAAAGAAATTCCTACTTATAGAACACAAATGTTAACATGGATATTTCCGATTAAAATCAAGTTATGGAACTATAGAAAAGTTATAATTTCCAAGAAATTATCTAATGGCTGTTTACACTATTTCTATCTCTCCTACTAAATATTTCTTTTTCAGCATAAGATAATAACACATCTCTTAAATTTCTAAATTTATCCTAACTAGCATCTGAAATATTCGTGGAATATTTACTTTTGTAACATCAACAAACCTGTCTGCATTCTTCCACTGGCAAGATCCTCAGATCCTCAGGTCTTTATATCCTCGGGGACATGTTGCTAGGGTCACACACTTCTGTAAAGGTGTTTCTTACGATATCAACAACACGAGAGCAGAGTCCTGGTGTTCTGTGGCTCCTTTCAAGCAAAGACTGTTTCGTTTGTATGATATAGCTGACATCTCCCATGAGCCAGGTTAACACCCAAATGATACCATAAATTCAGGACTCAAGACTTAAGATGGCACAAGCTAATAACCTCTTTCACCCATTCAGCTTCCAGCGTCATTGAGAGTTGAATGCTGAAAACCCACATATACATTTCTCCAGCACTTCAGACATGGTAAACATCAGCAGAAACCAGCCATCACTTACTAAATGTCATTTCAGGTAGAGGGTTATGTTTTTTTATCCCTACTAAGTCCATCGGAATGTCATATCTGTGTGTTATATTCCATGCAGGATTTTGGATCGCTATGTCCAGGAGCAAATTCCCGGTGCCAAGGTTGTGGTGGAGTCCATAGGTGCCCGCCGCCATGGAGACGCCTTCTCCCTAGAAGACTATAGCAAGTGTGACCTGACAGTCTATGCCATCGACCCCCAGACCAACAGAGCCATTGACAGAAATGAGCTTTTTAAGTGAGTGCTTTTCACTGCACTTCACACCTATGCAGTGACGGTAGCACCTATAGGTAATTCTTATTTAAGGATGATTAAAGTTTAAAAGCCACTGAGATGTTGTTTAAAGTGAAATGGAAGTGAAATCAGAGGCAGGGATAGTATCTTCACATGTAGTTTCCAAGTCTTGAATGCACTGGACTGAGGTCAGAAACCAGGGCAACAGGAGTCAGCTACATCTGGAGCCAAAACAGCACTTTGAGATCTCCTGGGGGGAAGAGGGGAGAGGAGAAACAGACTTGGTGAGGTGATGGCCTGCAATGACTTCATCAGGTTTGAAGGAAGAAACTGAGCCTTCTTACAGACAGCTCTATTGTAACAGGGGGAAAAAAGTGTCTGGTGTCCTGAACAGGGAAGGGGGGAGGAAAGGGAATCAGTAAAGGGAAAAATCACTGCCAAGTAGCTCTACATTCTATATGACAGCTGAATTCAAAGGAAAAGGAAAGGGATGAGGGATGAGGAGGAAAAGGAAAAATAGAAAGATGAGGAGGGGGAAGATGAAGAAGAAAGAAAGAAGGGAGAGAGAGAAGGAAGGAAGAGAGGGAGGGAGAGAGGGAGGAAGATAAGGAAGGAAGGAAGGAAGGAAGGAAGGAAGGAAGGAAGGAAGGAAGGAAAATAGTGAACAAAGGCTGAAATCTTAAATAGAATGATATTACATAGTTTTCACTGGCTCTTATTCTAACGGTCTTAATTCTGTATCCAGTTTTTGCTGGACTCTAGCGACACCTGGTGTCCTGAACATCGTTGGGAAAATTTTTTACTTAAACTTTTTAAATTTAAAATGAACATTGATATGTAAACATACAATTCATATAAGTGTGAGCTAGACTTTCAAGGAAGTTCATACATTTTTTTCTGACAATTGTTCTTAATGCATCTTTCCTAGTTGTTTTCAATCTTCTGGTCTCCTATATTTTCTTTTTTTTAATTTTTATTAATTACACTTTATTCACTTTGTATCCCCCCATAAACCTCTCCCTCCTCCCTTCCCAGTCCCACCCTCCCTCCCCCTTCTCCACGCATGCCCCTCCCCAGGTCCACTGATAGGGGAGGTCCTCCTCTCCTTCCTTCTGATCTTAGTCTATCAGATCACATCAGGAGTGGATGCATTGTCATCTTCAGTGGCTGGCTGAGGTGCAGCCTTACCAGGCCACAGAAGAAGACAATGCAGGACAGTCCTGATGAGACCTGATAGGCTAGGGTCAGAGGGAAGGTGAGGAGGACCTCCCCTATCAGTGGACTAGGGGAGGGACATGGATGGAAATGAGGGAGAGGGGGTGGGATTGGGAAGGGATGAGGGAGGGGGCTGCAGCTGAGATACAAAGTGAATATATTTTTATAAATTTTTTAAAATGCTGAGGAAAAAAAAACATAGTCACACTCTTCCCTGTGTCCGGTCATGGATAAGGAAGAGCCCTCTGTCTCCTCAAACCTTAGTATTTGTTTTCTGCAACAGTGTTCACAGTCCCTTCTTGCTTCTTGGAGTAAGCAATGTGTATTTACTGTCTGTAGTCTCCTTTCTTGCTGTTACGGTGAAACAACTGTGACAAAAGCAGCTTAGGGGAGAAGAAACAGTTACTTGGCTCACAGTAGCAGATGTGGTCCCTTGTGGTCCAGTACCCACGGAGGCTGAGCGTGGACAGACCTTGTCCAGGGCATCCGCTGTTGGAAGAGAGCAACCCGCTCACTATCTCCCTTTACACAACCCAGTATCCCACATCCCGAGTCCAAAGAACAGAGCCACCCACAATGAGCAGGCTTCCCTTCTCAGTGTAGTCAAGATCATCCCTTACAGACATCCTCAGAGACTCACCTTAACTTAAGCAACCCCTCGCAGCTGTGCTTGCTCCCAAAGTCTCTTCTCTCTTCTAACGTAATTAGTTGTTGTTGTTGTTGTTGTTGTTTTTCAATTTGCCTCACAACAAAGATTCCTGGATGGCAAACTGCTCGATATCAATAAAGATTTTCAGCCTTATTACGGGGAAGGAGGGCGCATTCTGGAGATCCGGACTCCCGAGGCGGTGACAAGCATCAAGAAGCGAGGAGAGAGTTTGGGGTACACGGAGGGGGCCTTGCTGGCCTTGGCCTTCATCATCATCCTGTGCTGCATACCAGCCATCTTGGTTGTCCTAGTGAGCTACCGACAGTGAGTATGGGGTCACCAAGCGGATGTGCTCGGGATGGTATTCGGGAAGCTGCCTGGTAAAGTAACATCCCCGGCTGCAAAAGGTTAATGGGGCAACTATTCTGTCATTGCGTTTCTCCTGCCTGAACCAAAATGCCTTCCTCAAGGCCAACACACAGGCGTCTTATACATGCCTTGGTATCCTTTGCTCCTATTAAGGCTTTGCTCAACGGACTAGTTTCTTCCTGGCTTTGTGCATTCTCTTCTATGGGTCAAAAGCTCCTCCCCCACCTGAAAAAAATTAGCCTGGAGAGAAAGCAGTCCAAGGTTTTACTAGAGTCTCTCTTCACCCAGTTTCAAGAAAAAAGGTTGCAGGGTCTCTAACGTGACCAGACACTGTCGTGTTAGCTGTTTTGTTGTCCCTTTTCTTTCTTTCTTTTTCTTTTATTCCATGTAGTTAGATTTACCCTATGAAAATGACGCAGCGTTAGCCAAATCGTGGTAAACTGTAAACACCACACCGGCGGCTAGTAGCATGGCTTCCCTCCCCCTGGTACCCTTGCGAGGGCATGCCTTGTCATAAATGCAGTGGCTGCGGAGAGCCTCACTCTTTCCAGTTCCTACAGTAAAATACGCTTGGGTTTTGCTGTGTGCAAAAAACTATTTAACATATATGAAATAGCCAAGGAATTGAAGTATTTTAAGTATCTACAATTCAGATAAACAGGATGTGCATTGGGCCTAATACCAAGTATGAGAAATTAGTAGTATGTCCCTACTGGCAGCCATTAAAAAAAAAAAAATGAAGAGTTGATTTAAAAGAGATGTAGCCCTGAGGTAATAATGGACAATTACAATAAATTTTATAACTATTTGATATAACAAAAGAAATAATGGTAAAAAAAAAAGTTATTTATTATTTGAAATACATAAGATGTTCCTAATGTATTCTTACACTGAAACCTTTCTGTCCTAATTTGCTTTTTGTTGCTACAAGAAAACACAAACCAAAACTAACTTGGTGAAGAAAGAGATTATTTGGCTTACAGCCAGGACTAAAGCTCAAGACAGGAACTGAAAGGCAGGAACTGAAACAGGGACAGTGGAGGAATTCTGCCTCCTGGCTTGCTTCCAGGCTCGTGTTTCCACTGCCCTTCTTAATACAGTCAAGCACACATTCTCAGTAATGTCACTGCTCAGCTCTCCCACATCACTCATCAATTAAAAAAAAAAAAAAAAGTTCCACAGACTTACCTACAGGCAATCTGATGGAGGCATTTTCCCAGCAGAGGTTCCTTCCTCCCAGATGATGCTAGCCTGTGAGAAGTAGAAAGAAAGAAACACGAGCCAGAGCACCCACGAGCCAGTCTGAGAGCAGCCATTCCTCAATGAGGTCCACTCTTCCCACGGGTGTCAAGCTGACAACCATAACTAGGTCGTCCATCACACCTTCTTTCCAATGACTGAACAGTTTTCTCTTGAGTTGAATACAGTAAGTTCATTGCAAGTTGAAATGTTCAAGGTGTGAAGATGTTAACTGGATAATTTCCTCACAGAGGTCATGTGGAGTTGCAGACATGATGTTTGGTTGCCACAGTTAAGCTTACGTCTCCTTAACAAATCAACTATTATATTAAACTTAAAGTACCTCATAAACAGTACTGGAAAAATAACCATAACTTACCAAGCCGTCAATCTAGTACTAATTTCCATATTTATTCTGTTATGTGCTTTCTTTATTTTTCATTCAACTGTTCCTCAAAGAAGTATATCATAGCCTTATGTCAGTAAAATCAATATTCCTCCAAGTAAAGAAACAAACTCCTACAAACATCAGGTCATCCTCAAGTTTCCATTTTCTTATTAGATTTGAAGCTCATAGCTCTGAGGGTTTTTTCATTTTTTTAAAATTTATTTATTTATTACAATTTATTCACTTTATATCCCTGCTGCAACCTCCTCCCTCATCTCCTCCCACTCCCACCCACCCTCTCTCTTCTCCCCTTACACCCTTCCCCATGTTCATATCTGACCCTAGCCTATCAAGTCTCATCAGGACTGGCTGCATTGTCTTCCTCTGTGCCCTGATAAGGTTGCACTCCTCCCAGGGGGAGGTGACCAAAGAGCCAGCCACTGATTTCATGTCAGAGACAGCCCCTGTTCCCCTTACTAGGGAACCCTCTTGGACACTTATGGGCTACATCTGTGCAGGGGGTTCTAGGTCTTCTCCATGCAAGGTCCTTGATTGGAGTATCAGTCTCTGCAGGACCCCCTGGGCCCAAATATTATAGCTTTGTGTTTTAATACAGTTTTTCTTACTCCATTCAGTTCACTTATTTATTTCTTTGTAGTGGCTTTTTAAATGATTTGTAAGTCTGCAACAGTAGTAATGAGGAAGCCCTTGTCTTCCCTCTTATATCATTAACTGTATCCTTATGGGCTTGTTCAGGAAACCGTTTGCAATTTATAGCAAATCCTGTTATAAAGCTATTAGCGTCATATGTCTAATGTCACTTTGTCTTTCTTGCAACTGCTTTCCAAAACAGATTTAAAGTGTAAGTATAATTATGAATATTTCTGCACATGAATTTATGTGATAGAAAATGAGAATTCACAGATTATATTGATCAAGCTGTCATACCTGAACTGTGTATAATTTTCTTAGCAATTATTTGGGTTTGCAGTTTTGAGGTGTGTACGCATGCGTGAGTGTGTGTATATGTGTGCGTGTGCTTAATCTGACTTTAGACAACTTATTATAACAGTAATATGAAAGGTGAGGTATGTTCTAATCATTTCTACCATTTGATGCTTTAATTTTAAGAAAGAAATACTGTCCGAGAGATATAAAACCACAGGTCACCCCTAACACCAGCAACATGGGTATTAGTAAAAATGCAATTAATTTGAAAATACCAATGTGAATTCTACCGTTCCTTCAAGGGGCGAATATTTACACACTGAACGTGAGAATGCTTCTGTCCTATCAGTTTATTAGTCCAAACGTTTGCGTGTAGTCTAAGTGGGTCCCCCTGGCAACAGAACCTCGCTATTAAGACCAGTAGCCTATGGGTCGTGGTTTCTAAACTGAGTCTTCTAAGACAACCTTACTCTACTCAAGACGCCAGGCTGAATGCACGAAGACAGCGAGAATCCAGTCGGCCATGCCTGCGGCCAAACCTGCAGCCCCCGTGCCCGCAGCCCCCCCACCGCCACCACCCCCAGGAGCACATCTCTACGAGGAGCTGGGAGAGGGCGCCATGTGAGTACCAGGGCGGGGCATGCGTTGGGTGGCCTGGATGCTGGGAGCGAAGCTAGCTCCGCGCCTGTGCAGAACTGCAGCCGGAAGCCTCTCATACACCGTCATTCCGTTACTGAGTCTAAAACAGCAGCTGAAAAGTTGAGTTGAAAAACACTAGCTAAGAACTAAAAAGGGAACAAATCAAGAGAAAAGAGAGAGAAAATTACAGGGAAAAAAAAGAATACAAACAGTATCCGAGTTAGGCACAACTTCAGAGTAGAGTTTGGGTATTACATTTAATCTCCCAATCTTCACGATATTGGGACAACGTCCTGAACAAAATTACAGATTCCGAAGAAAAGCAATCAAGTGGGAGATTGTAATAAACCCAAACGGTAAGATGATATTTCCTGATTTGTGATTAAAAAAAAAAAAAAAACAACTCCCCCCTTGACAGTCAAAAGCAAATCCTGCAGTTTACAATCAGACGTTCTTAAGATACTATTTTAGGATATTAAACGAAGGAAAGATTGGGATCTGAGCTAGTCGGTGGCGCGGTGTGCTCTGAGCAGTCTGCTCGCTGCGCTGCACTGAGGCCGCCTTGGTCAGCGTCACCACACTGTAGGGTTTCCGAGCAATTCTAAGCCACGCGTTTTGAGAGAGCTTGTTAAGGCACTGCTAAGGCTTCACAACTGGACGACACACCCCGCACAGTCTTATTTGATTTCATGTGTGTTTATTCTAAAACTTCAAGAGCAGCCACCTTGAGAGCAGGTTAAGCGAACCAAGTGCATATTAGAGCTGAACTCAGGAAACTTTGTCATTGGTGCCTAAAGACACCAATGTTTCTAGTATTTACTAAGGGTCGAGAGTCATGAAAATCGCTCTCCTACTGGAAAAACAAAAACAGAACAAAACAACAGCTTAGACTATGCAATAGCGACAATATGATATATGAAGCTGTAAAATGTGTACAGGTGCTATTTTAGAGTTGTATAAATACATGTAATCTATAACGTATAATATGCAATATATACATACACTACGTAAGTTGAAGTTAAAGCAAAATTTAAAGCACAGCATTCTATTTACACGCAAAATTTACTCCTCAAATGTGTGTTTTCACTTCTTTCCCAATCTACCAATGCTGCCCTCATTGAATTACTGGTGAAGTAGGAATTGAGCCAATGTGATTTGACTCTCAGATTCCATTCAGCAGCTCTTTCCAGCAATGCTGTTCAGACAGAAAAGCATTTGTGTGGAGTCAGCAGTATCCACATAGGAGAACAATGACTGACGTATAGATCTGTGCATCCGCTTTATAAAAAAACGAGTTCACACAACAGCATCTGCAGTCAGGAGCGGTGGGTGAGGGCGAGTTGCAACTGGCAGTCTTTAAGGGCCAATGGCACTTGAAAATTGGTAGTAGAAGATTTTCAATCATGTATAGAAACATTTTGATTCTGAACCTTATGTCATTTTTAGAAATGCTTTTTTTTATTTTTTTATTTCTTTACTGTTGAAAATGTTTTGTAAGGATTCTAGCAAAGGCAATTGCCACCAAGTATGTTTTAAGGAAGAAAAAAACAGACAATTTTGAAAAAAAAAATCCTCACGAAGTAATTCATAATGTCAAGTAAATATACCACTCTATAATATTCACCTAGTATCTAATGTATTTACTTTCTTCCTGAAACCTGGCCTCATAGTCACACTGAGCAGTTTTTAAAGTTAAGACACAGTCATGATTCTTGCTCTTATTTACAATTTCTTTTTCATGATTAAGATAACCCACGTTTCACAAAGGTGAATCTTTATATATCTCCAGAAAATAAATTGTTAAATAAAATTCTGCATGAAACACCAGAGTAAAGGTCACAGTACTTTATCTGAAACATTATTAGATATTATCCTGGTGACTAAATGAAAAATAAGAAACATGCATTTTCCTCTCTTGAACTGTGTGTATTGTTTAAAGCAAGAGTCTGTTAATATTGCATAATCATCATCTCAAATTAATGACAGCTAAAACTTTTTTTTTCCCCCTGTCACATGTTTTCTCTTTCTCACCTGTGGATACCTAGGCATGAGTAAGTAAATAATGTCCTTCTAATAAGAGGCTGTTAGAACATAGGGGTAGCGGGGTAGAGCGAGCACCACTATTGTCTGCACGGTGGTCCTTGCTTTCAGGATGTAGGCATTCGTGTTTGATCGGAAATCCCATCCTCCCTACCTGGTTTCCCTCTGATGTGACCGTGCTCACACACCACCAGGGACCATGTCAAGACTGTCTTTATCTTTAATTCAGACATAGAGTCCTTTCAATCATAAGTGATATGTATGATTACACAGATCACCTCTTCCAAAACTAATGGCTATGTAATTCCAAGTTACGTGATATCTGATGTATTTTCAAACTAGCTTTCCAAGCTCGGGAAAAATCCAGGTTGTCTGTTTTTGTTCAATTGCCCGTACCTCCTAAATTATTCAGGTTGGCTGATAATCCAGGCCCATTTGTGAGTACTCCTGCTTTGTCATCAGACTTCAAAGCTACTTATCATTTTATTGCCTACTCTATCACTCCATTTTAAACAACTATTTAGTCCTTATCCAAAATATTTATACTTTATTTTCCTCTGGTTGGAGTTGAACATTAAACAACTGGCAAAATTGATTTGCTGTTGTGCTTCACCTTGAAGGCAGAACCTTCAAGGGGGCTACGTAAAGTCCATGCCACCTAACCTTTCGGAAGGAAGGGTCCCAGGGCATGGACCCAAATGTCCTTCATGTGTGCCCTGCAACATTCTAACCATAGTAAGAATGCAAATCTACTAGTGGCACTTTGCTCAGTATTCATACCCAAGCAAACCACGCAGGGAAACCAAAAGAACATTGTTGTAGCATAAATCATTTCATCCAGGGACTCTTGGTTGAAATTTGATCTGCATTACATTTGCAGAAAAATGTAAATTCCACCTGTCTATTTGTGTTTTCGATATTTTAAAGTAACCAGGCATAGAATTTAAGTGGGAAGAGGTCATTTTTTTTTTTAGTTCAGGATCGTAGCACGACGGTGGTTTCTAGTTACGAATTTCGAGCTCTCTGAGGACTTTCCATTCTGTCTTTGGGAGCTGTCGTTCTTCTAACCTGGGAAGTGGGCTATCCCGTCCTGTATTGCCTTACAAATGTGGCTTTCTATCAGAGACTATATTGAGCTCCCAGAGTTACTGAGACGGGATATGCCGGGCAGTCCCTGACGGAGATATAGCCAAGCATAACAGTGGGCCCTGAGTACATTCCAGCAAGGTGAGAGCACACAACCACACATCCTGCCTGTACCTTCCAAAACCGTGGCTTACACAGGAGCAAGCATAGACCCAGACACTTGGCCTTGTCACACTAATTGGGGAGGGGTGAACAGTCTAGAGACTGTTTCTGGTCCTTCTCATGACTCTGGATGTCCCCTGCCCTGTCTTTTCTAGAATAGGAACTTGACAGTGAGTTTTGCTCCAGTGCTTTAGCCTTTGTAATGTTAGATATGATGATAACCGTGAAAACGCCTTTCTTATGAAAGCTGTATCACAACTTGTCTCCTTCTTCTCTTTCAAGTCTTTTCCTTCTCTACCATTTTGAACAAAGCAGGGGAAATAACTCAGTCCCAGAAGACAGGACCAGTCACCATGATGGGATGGCCTTTTCTTCCAGTACCACTGAGTCTCATGAGCCAGCTCATGTAGAGGGACCACTTAAGGACAGCCAGCCTAACCCAACAAGGACGTTCTCATTTCTCCCCGATGAGGATGATTTAAGCACCCACAACCCCCTTTATATGGAGAGCGTAGGTCAAAGGTCAACAGATTCGGGCCTTTCGCCGCCGAGGACAGATTTTGAAGAGCTGTTTTCACCCAGACCACAAGTTAAGAGCCAGTCTCTGAGGGGCCCGAGAGAAAAGATCCAGAGGGTGTGGCATCAGTCCGTGAACTTTCCAAGGCGGCTGCTGTGGAAAGCTCCCAACAGACCAGAGACCATAGACCTGATGGAGTGGCAGGTCACCAGGCAGAGAGTTGAACGCCAGAGCGCCAGGTCCCACCCACCCCAGAGAGGTACCGAAGATGCCCATGGGCCAGGGAAGGAAAGGGGACCCCGAGACACCCTGAGCATCCAGCAGGCAGAGCAGGGGACACTCCTGTCTTCGGGCTCCTCCTTCTCCTCCTCTTGGTCTCACTTCTCATTCTCAACCCTGCCAACCATTTCTAGAGCCGTGGAACTCCGGTCAGAGCCCAGTGTGGTCACCTCTCCCGCTGACTGCACCCTGGAACTTTCTCCTCCTCCGAGGCCCGGTGGTGTAAACTCCCTGGGCTCTAAGAGAGAGACTCCCAGTTGGGCCTTAGACAAGGAAACGGAAAGAAACTCTTTAGAGTTGGTTCCCCATCCTCCTAACATCCCTTCCTCCCTGGCACAGCCTCCTCCACCTCCTGCTGCCTTCACTGCCCTCCCTCTCCCCCTCTCTCCTCCTCCCCGTCTTCTTACATTTCCCATCTCTGGCCCCCCTCCTTCTTCCCTGCCTCCTCCACCACCATCCCTTCCTCCTCTTTCTCTGCCTCCAGCCCCACGCCCCTTCCCACCGCCTCCCTCATCCTCTTCAGTGTGCACCGCCCAGGTCACACGCGCCAGAGAAACTGCATCCTCCACCAGGAGCGCAAGGCCACCAGCATCCAAAGCGCCGTGTGACGCGGCGCCCCACAGACCCCCGAAGGGGATCCTCAGGCACGTGACCAACCTGGCAGCACTCGAGAAGTCGGTGTCCAACATGTACAGCCACATAGAGAAGAACTGCCCGCCCGCAGGGCTCCCGAACCCCCACACGCTCTGCCCCCCAAAGGAAACGGACGTGGAAGGCACGTGTGACCAGAGCCAGGGAGGACTGGTCAGGGTCGTGGAGGGCATTGACCAGCAGCCTTACAGTCAGTCCACATCCTTGTGATGTTGGGGGATTCTTTCCTGGATCTCAGTCCTCCAGAGGAGCACGGAGAATTTGAACGTCAGTCAAAGAAGAGTCCACCGTTTTAATCCCAAACTCAGTGCAATGCCTTTCTCCCTCCACACCTTTCATTTCCGTTAACATCCTCGCCACTAACTCATAGGGTAGATTTACCTTAATTTTTTCTTAACTCCGAGGTAGCATTATTTGTCCTACATTTATTTAAAAAGTAAGTAACCTTATCTGTTTCTAATGGGGGAGATGTGGGCATGAAAAAAGTACTGATCCGACTAAAACCAAAGGCTTGTTGACCTTGTTGGTGGGTGATGTTCCTTTTTTTTTTTTTTTTTTTTTTTT